AACCGTGAACGTTTAGTTACAATTATTCAAGTCGGTGAACATATTACAAAGGTGTTCAACCGCAACGGCATGTTGAAATAGGTAACCGCATTCTGAACATTACAGAGAAAATAATATTGTTTGGTCATTTACCCCATCGCCTTTTGCCCGACACGAATATGTTTTTAGTTGAGGTCAATCCACTTGACCTGTCCTGACCATCGAGGATACTGCGTAATGGTTAAACTTGTTGGTTTGTTGTTTAACGCCGCACGCAATATTCCAGTTAATAATCGAGTGTGAACCAGACAATCCAGTTATCAACATCATGAACATCGATCTACGCAACTGGGGATATGATGACATGTGTCAACCAAGTCAGCGAGCCTGACAACCCGATCCCGTTAGTTGCCTCTTACGACAAGCATGTGCTGCTGAAGACCAATTCTAACCCGGATCTTCACGGGTTTTATGGCTATATACATGTAGTTATTTACTGTTGTCTCACCTTCACCCATACTGTGACGATATACTGTGTGACCGCCTCCGTGAATAGAGCGTCCGCCCGGAGAGCGGAATGTCGCAGGTTCGATTCCATGAAATATGGTGCTTGGCGCTCGGCATTAATGGGTTACAACAAGAACTAGGTTGGGTGTCGTGAGTGGGGTATTCATGCTTAATTACGGCATGGTATCTCAGTGAGCTAGCACTATAAAACCAGCTTAAGTCTGGGCTAGTACAAGCAGCCACACATACACACGCATGCACGTCGTCATATGAGCGAAATATTCTCAAGTACGACGTTAAACCCCACTTCAACTCACCTCACATACTGTGTGGCGCCAACGTAAAACCTTAAAAGATTCAGAGTTATTCATATATAATTTTCAAAATGAGAGAGCCAGTATTGTTTTAAACCGTTTTTAGCAATATTCCAGAAATATCAGCACTGCTCAGCCGGGGCACCAGACATGGGTTTTACAACTTGTACCCATGTGGAGAATCGAACCCGGGTCTTTGATGTGATGAGAAAACGCATTAACCACCCACTACACCCACAGTCCCTTGAAGAGGATCTGGTGTTCAAAACATGCGGGGGCGGTGGGGTAGCCTTGTGGTTAAAGCGTTGGCTCGTCACGACGAAGACCCGGGTTCGAATCCCCACATGGGTACAATTTGTGAAGCCTATTTCTGGTGTCCCCCGCCGTGATGTTGCTGGAATATTGCTAAAAGTGGCGTAAAACCAAACTCAGTCAGTCAGTCAGTCTAAACATGCGACTTGGCTGCTTGTATGCCATCAGGTCATTTTGTTGGCTGGTGTAGTATATCAGGTCATGCTGTCAAACATTGCTCAAAATTCTATTGTTTTCAGGTCTGTTCATTCAGCGGGAGTTTCCCGTGCCACTTTCTCTTTTGACCTACCGATGGAGTAAATTTATATGGCAGACGACACCAGAAATCAATGTCAAACGTTCTACCCAGGTGGTGAATCGAACCTGAAGGCCTGACTGACCACAAACTAGGTACCCATACCAACAAGAATGACCCTTTATCTGAATGGAATAATAGACTGACTCACTAAGAGATGAAGAATTGTGTATATGTCTACATGGAACCATTGGATGAAGTTGTTGTGTCTCCGTTCCTCAATAGTCGTATCGTAGTCATCCCGTTGTAAAGGTTCACTTGTCACACACAAGGCCCAGTTCCTGCACCAGTCTCGCAGCCCCTGTATCATCTTTATTGGCCCTTCTGTCCAGCAATTACAGTGACAATATATCCCCAAATGAAGGAATCTCAGGTCTGATTTCCTTTTCAAGTGAAAGGGAGTTATTTGTTTCCATCAAACATATTCTTAGAAATCTACTATCACACTGGGACTTCAGACGCTGCTTTCTATCAAAACTATACATGCTCAGAGGGTTAATTAGGGGTGGGGAGGGGTGTTTAAATTATACGATGATCATTTTCGGTGGCGCCGCAGTGACACGACGTAAGTAACATGACGTAAGTAACACTAAATGGAGCGCGACGATGACGATTTGAGTGTTTAACGTCGGCTTCTGGCTGGGCCAATTTCGCCGAGCGTCACCTACAAACAGGCCCTCAACGGCCTTTTGAGGGGCGACTAGACTAAGGCTTAGTCTCTGAATATATATAATTTTGATAGTAACAAACAAGCCCATTTATATTGAAAAGGAGCCCTAGGGAGACCAGAGATTCAGAACTTGAACCTGAGGAAATCTAGACTTGCTTTATTTAGGGCTTTAGCACTGCAGAGAGGGCTTAGCAGTAGGGAAATTAATGTGGTTCAGGGACTGTGAGACAGACTAAGGGGCGACGTGAAGGCCTAGTTGCTAAGCCTTTTCTCTCCATCTCACCTATCCACGCAGACATATTTTATGTCCACGGACATTGTATTGGTGGAATAGTGCTAAAGGCGGCGTAAAAATACCCCCTTGGAATTTAGTGCTACCCGATTCAATGTTGATAAATTCAATGTCCCCTGATTGACCGTATATGGCTGGAAACCTCCCAAGTAACAGTGGGCCCCATGGATAACCTGGCGTCGTTTGTACTTTGTGGGCGTAATGCGTAATATAAATACAGGGTATAGTTTAATCCAGGCAAACATGTTCTAATGACTGGGGCGGGGGGCGTTGTTGAGATCACCACCCTGGCTCCTTCGTGGAGCCGCCCTGGCTTCATGCGTTGGTATCGTAGCACGCCAGCGTGTCAATGAGAGAGCTAGCAGTAACGCCGCTCTTAGTCTGTCTCAAAGTCCCTGAACCACATTATTTTCCCATCCGCCCAGTCCTTTCTTATATGCTGGGCAGTAAATGAAGCAAGTCTAGATTTTATCCGGTTCTGAATCTCCCATGCTCCTTTTCAATTCTACAGGAATTGTTTTGTTTCTATCGAAATTATATATATTCAGAGACTAAGCGTTATTCTAAGCCGCTTCATACTCTGTTGCAGTCACACCCCGGCGAGTCACCAAAGGGAGGTTTTACTTGGGGGAGCTCACAGACGACACAATCCGTGAAGATCCGGGTGAGAATTGATCTTCAACAATCCATGCTTCTTGTAAGAAGCTGCGTAGATCGATGCTCATGCTGTCAGTCACTGGATTGTTTGGTCCATCCTCGAGTATTTACAGACCGCTGCCATACCGTTGAAATAGTGTTGAGTGGGGTATGATACAACAAACAAACAAAACACGCACAGACGTCACAACCAGGCGAATTAAAAAATGAAACGACGACGGGACTCTCTACATATTCATTATGTAATTTCTCCTATACGTTGACATTTCAGCCCACAATAACCAAATTGGTCATGCTTTGTTGAATACTGACCAACCTAACACTTGTCACTTAAAGGCACAATCACAATATTTTGGCCTATATATTTATATGCACTCACTTCAGCTTCCTATTGATGCAATAAAAGACTCATTATCCCTCACGACTTGCCTGAAATCAATAATTGAAACTTCGAGGCGAACTGATCACACTTGCCATATATGGAATGTAAACGACTGCTCCGTACATCACGAACTGTCGCACGCGGTGTTGTCAGTGTTTGCCAAACTGTTTTCAATTGTGTGTAGGATATTCGTAAAGAGCGCTCCAAGGGACATAACTCTATGGGGTTCGCTTGAAATGTTCGGCCGGTAGAGGCGGATTTAGGCAACGTTGCATTAATTCATTCGAACTTTTTACTTTAATATTGTAATCTAAACACATGTACGTAATTTTGGGGGGAATAAATTATATGGTATCTTCCCTGAGGATGATAGTATTATTGTGAGAAATGCATTATGTATTTTTAGAGAAATGTGGTGTGACATTGTGCCTTTAAGCAGCAACAGATTGGGTCGTCCAACTGGTGTTAAGTTACTGCTGTCAACATTGGTCACCGGAAATACAATGTCTAAACACTCATCGGCCTTGACGTTTTGATCAAAACATGTGAAGCTGGAGTCACTACCGCATAGAGACTGAACAAAAATAGAATCACAACAAAATACAATCATGTCTAGTCCTTTATTTAATCTATTAGTCACCGAAAAAACCAACTGAAAGGGTCAACAACCAGGTTAAATAGTGCACTGTATTCTCCTATTTTCCATCTGTTACTGTGGTCTGAGGCCAACATTTTGTTATCATGTTTGGGATCTAGACTATCTATTAATGTCTGTTGAAACAAAAGGTGACATTACTTGCTATATAGTATATACTCATGCCAATAATGGCTGTCACCCCCCAGCCCACACACCCACACACACACACACACACACCCTCTCCAATAAAAACATTGAAGGGGGTGACAACCATTATTGGCATGAGTATATATAGTTTTTTACAAAATTCAAACATGCCCAGAGAATCGTGTTAGAATGTGTTTTGTAATCTTGTAGTGAGTGAGTAAGGTTTTACGCCGCTTTTTGCTATATTGCACCAATGCCGCGATGGAGGACTGAAGAAACGGGTTTTGTAACCATGTGGGGGAACCGAACTTGTGTCTTCGACGTGACAAGCTAGGCTACCACACCACCCCGTGTAATCTAAACAGGATTAGTTGTGAATTTCATTTCATTGTCGATCATACGGGACTGCATGAGATCGAGTCACGCTGATACATAGAGGATATTATTATGGGTGCCCATGTCATAATATGTTTATAACATGAGTGCCTAAATGTTGGTATTTCCCGAGTGAGAGCGAGGGACATACCGATATTTAGACACGAGTGTCGTAAACATAGTATGATATGGACAGGAATATTATATTCTGTTTATTACCGAAGTCGTCATGATGAAAATAAACCCAAATCTGCTTTCAAACATAGGCTGGCTACACGTCGCCGCATGTAGAACGCAACGTCACAGAAGAAACGTGACGTCATAACATTGTTCATGACGTGCCAGACACCTATAATCGTGGGTTCGAACCCCTGATTATGTTTCTTGGTTTGTCAGCACCATAGTGAGTGAGTTTAATTTTACGCCGCACTCAGCAATATTCCAGCTATGTGGCGGCGGTCTGTAAATAATCGAGTCTGGACAAGATCATGATCATGAGCATCGATCTATGCAGTTGGGATACGATGGTTGTGTCAACCAAGTCAGCGAGCCTGACGACCCGATCCTCTTAGACAAGCATGGGTTACTGAAGACCAATGCTAACCCGGATCTTCACGGGTGTCATCACCATTAACTTCTTATCTATTTCTTAAATCCCCATCGTTTTCCTCCACATTAAGCTGACACGCCATGCTGCAACCGAAATGCTGTTCAATTGTCCTGTTGAAACAACTCCCTCTGGCGATCAATGATTGGAAGGAGGTGTGGGCGTAGGATTTCGTCACAGTATCGTTGAGCTGTCAGGTTGCCCTGGATCATCACCAAATCACTTCTCCTACGGCAGTTGATCCCCACACACACACATCATCATAACACTTCCCCGGCCGAATCTGTCCACCTGGGGAACGCAAGCGTCGGCGAAACGTTCACGTCGACGTCTGTACACCCGCATTCTTCCATCGCGTCGTTCCAATAGAAATCGTGATTCATCACTGAACCAGATTCTACGCCAATTCGGTAGGTTCCAGGCCTGAACGTTGGTGCACCATTGAACTCGATGTCGACGATGTTGTTGTCGAAGCATAGGGCCAAAATAAGGTCTTCTGGAACGTAAACCAGCCTCTCTCAACCTGTTCCTGACTGTCTATGCAGAAAGCCTCCTCAATCCGGGTATTTGTCGAGCGGTACTGGTCGCCGTAGCTGTTCGATGACGCAGGTAACGTACCCGGATGTAGCGATCCTGCGCCGCAGTGGTCGCTCGAGGTCGCCCACTACGAGGGGCATCTGCTACCGAATTCTGCCGGCGATATCTCTCCCAGAGCCGTGAAATGGTGCTTTGGTGAACATTCATGCGTCGGGCAACTGCACGTTGAGACTGGCCAGCTTCAAGCAAACCAATGGCGATATGACGGTTGGCTTCACTTAGACGTGGCATTTTGCGTTCGTCAACAATATTCCAAATACAGTGAATAATCGACAGACAGCGATCAACCTTTTATACCCATCATTGAGACTATCTGATCCCCAACTTTCATGTGAATTGTGTATTCTGTGACACTACACGCCGAAATTGAAAATCATGCTGTTAAATACGGGTATTTTACGGATGGTGCGTTTTGTTGTGACCATAGGACAACAGAGCAAAACCTTTTGTAAAATGAATCACGTTTTAATTCATTGCTACATGAAATTGCTATTTTCATGATGCGTTTCTTTTTTGGGAGAGTATATTAACACAACAAAATCTTGCCCGAAAACGTTGCTGTGTGACAGAGGAGCGTGATGGTTTTATCAGCCATCTTGCATGTCACAAAGTCAATGTTACCAACTACGAATTGTACAGTACAACCAGAAATTATTGAGAATTTAAGATTGTAATTTTTTTTTTCACTCATTATTAAATGTGAATATTAGCAGAACATAACTCCAGATTCAAAGACAGATGAACAGTTAGTATTTTGTCCAGTCACCATGGGCAGCAATGCAGGCTTCAATGCGGCGGGGCATACTACTGATCAAAGAAGTTAGAAAGTCGTGGTCCATGCTGTCCCAATATCGGACCACCTCTTCTTTCATTTCCGCAATATTTGTCAGATTTTTCTTATTGACACTTTCCTTCATAAGTCCCCAAACATTTCTATTGGATTTAGGTCAGGGCTATAGCTTGGCCAATCTAATAATGTCATATTTTGGGTCCGAAACCAGGCCTGTGAATGCTTTGAACGATGTTTTGGGTCGTTGTCCTGCTGGAAAATCCAAACATTTCCATAGAACACGTGAGCAGATGGAAGTAAATGTCCCACGAGAATATCTGTGTACCGCTCACTGTTCATATTCCTTTCAAATACACAGAGGGTCGTTGCCCCTGACACAGATATGCCGCCCCACACGTTAAATTTCGGACTGTACTTTGGGCGCTGATACAAATGTTTTTCAGTTTTTTTTGTCCAGAATTTCAGTGTATTAAGAAACAGCCACACAGAACTTTCATCTGATAAAAAGCACATTGTCCCAGTTAAAATTTCTATGCTGTAAGCACTAGTTCAACCTTCGCTCCTTTTGTTCAGGTTTTAATGATCGGTGATGGAATTCCTCGACTTTTCTGCCAACCCATTGCATGCAGCTCAGTTCTAATTGTCTCCTTACAGACATCCACAGTTCCTCTATCAATCATATTCAGCCTTAAGTTTTCTAAACTCCTTCGTTTGGTTTATAGAAGCAAGAATAGCAAGCCGCCTCCTGTCACCGACCGAATTTTCTGGGCCTACCTGCGCCTCCCTGGTGCTCAATGCCATATCCATTTGCAATATTTTTCAAAACACGATAAACAGTGGACAAAGGAATGCCTGTTCTGCTTGAAATCACTTTAGCTGATCTGATGTCCTTGTTATAATACTCTAAAATCAACTTCCTCTTCTCTAAATCATCCATACTGAGGATCACTGAAAATGTCGTCTGCTAGCAAGTAAACAAAGGGGAATAACTCTTCACAAACTAATGAAAAAGGATTAACGGAGTTGTCTCTCTTGAATGAAACCAAGCACTTGATAGCTGGTCAAGGTTGTTTATACTAGAAATCCAATTAAACATATTCCTAAAATTCTCAATAATGTCTGGTCATACTATACATTACAGTGTGTTAGAGTAAGTGAGTGAGTATGGTTTCCCGCGGAGTAGCCTAGTGGTTAAAGCGTTTGCTCGTCACGCCGAAGATGCTGGTTCGATTCCCCACATGGGTACAGCGTGTTAAGCTCATTTCCTGGTGTCGCTTCGCCGTCGTGAAGGTGGAATATTGCTAAAAGCTGCCTACCACCATACTCACTCACTCACTCCGTTCAGGATACATCGTTGGTATAGCATTTTACACAAAACGAGATCACTGTCAAGTATAGATATTTCCAAAGATATATTGATATATATATAGACATATACACAGGGTGATGCAGATCTATTTTCTAGATGTCTAGGTCGGTGTGGTAGCCTAATGGTTAAAGCGTCCGCTGAAGTGCGTGCGTGAGTATGGTTTTATGCTGCTTTCAGCAATATTCCAGCAATATTCCAGCAATATCACGGCGGGGAACACCGGGAATGGGCTTCACATATTGTACCCATGTGGAGACTCGAACCCGGGTCTTCGGCGTCACGGGCAGACGCTTTAACCACTGTGCTACCCACCCGACCCCGTCCGCTGAAGACCCAGGTTCGATTCCCCATATGGGTACAATGTGTGAAGCCCATTTCTGGTGTCCCCGCCGTGATATTGCTGGAAGATTGCTAAAAGCGGCGTAATACTATACTCACGCACTCACTTAACAAAGGTACGCGATCTATCACAGTCGCCATGGCATCAGTAGGTGAATGTTCTGACGTGGATAATCAACACCACGTGTGCCGCCACGCTCAAGTGATATACACAACACACAGCAGGTGACATCCAAACCCACGAAAACATGTTATTTACTCACTTAGACCCGGGAATGTCACTTCCGAGTGGACTTTGGAACTGCCGCGGGTATTGCTTTGTTTACGAGGTATAATCTGAGAGAGGATTATCATTATAAACATGTGTATCAGACATAGTTACCTTCAGTGGTAATAACATGTTCCTTCTGTTTTATATTAGTCGTTATTTATAGCTTGGAAATAATCGTGATAATATCCTGTGTTTGACTTTGAGATTAGTACGTTTTTCATTTTCGTTGCTTTCAAGTCGAACTCCATGCCACTGTATGTGTATAACATGATGTGAGTCACAATTATAATGTAGATCTACGTCATCTGGATGTTATTTGTTTAAGTGCCCTGAGTGAATGCTGTTTTACGCCTGTCAGCTGTGTTGCATATATGGCTTTATGACTTTTTATAGTTAGTGAGTTTAGTTTTAGGCCACGCTTTTAGCAATATTCCAGCATTATCACGGCGGGGGACACCAGAAATGGTCTTTACACATTGCACCCATGTGGGAAAATCGAACCCGGGCCTTCGGCGTGACGGGCGAACGCTTTAACCACTGGGCTACCCCACCACCTGTTTAATAGTCGTGTAGTTGACACATAAACTTATGATAATCAACCAGGTAACTGAGTGTTTTGGTCTTAAGCAACGATCATCAAGAGGACCCGTGAAGGTGCGGGTTAGAATATTGATATTCAGCAAACCCATGCTTAGTCGTAAAAGGGGCGACTAACGGGATCGGGTGGTCAGACTCGCTGACTTAGTTGATACATGTCATCGTATCCCATGACATGATATGGATGCTCATGATGTTGATCACTGGATTGTGTCGTCCAGACTCGATTATTTACAGATCGCCGCCATATCGCTGGACAACTTGCTGAATGTGGCGTTAAACAACAAACGATCCTCGAATTAACTGTCATGACAATCATCCGAGTAACTCCAGACACCAGAGAATATATACAAAAAGGAGGCCAACAAAGTCTAGAATGATTGGGCAAATCCAGATTGCCTCAACTCTAGAAAACTTTAAACTCGGAAATCAAGAGTTGCTTTAAGCACCTTTTGGATTTCATTTATTGACAAAATATTCACTGACTGACTGACTGAGTTTGGTTTTACGCCGCTTTTAGCAATATCACGGCGGGGAATACCAGAAATGGGCTTCACACATTGTGCCCCATTCTCTTCCCACAGAGGTTACTTGTCATATCTTCCTACGAACCTCTGTTCTAATACGATCATATTTCCCGGTTCTCGTAAAATCCCCTAGCGGCATAAAATCGCAACACGAATTATCTCCCTTCTTTCTGTCCAATCAGAACACGTGTTACATCAACTTGACTAATACAAGCAAATGTTGGGTCACAAATATCCCTCCTCTGCCAGGAACGTTGTGTTGATGTGACACACAAGACATTTAATGGCTGGCTTGTCCGTTGTCAATGAGGGCGATGGACACGCCAGTGATCAAGCATTTACATGACTGAGTTTTTGATCACCCATGTAAGGATTCGAATCCGGGTCTTCGGCGTGACGAGCCAACGCTTTAACCACTAGGCTACCCCACCGCCCCGACAAAATATTCACATTGTCAAACATCGTTGTGACGACGTTGAAGGGATCTATGTTTACTTCGATTTATCCGCTGCTCGACACATCCGCAACATGATGACCAAATAAGGAATACGTAGAGACCCACCTTTTACTTCGAGATAATCGTAAATTCGACACATCGGGGTTGGACTCATTGGTGTCTGATTGTATGTCTTCGACCCGTGAAGATCCGGGATAGAATTGATCTTCAGCAACCCATGCTTGCCGTAAGAGGCGACTAACGGGTTCGTGTGGTCAGGCTCGCTGACTTGGTTAACACATGTCATCGTATCCCAATTGCGTAGATCGATGTTCATGCTGTTGATCACTGGATTGTCTGGTCCAGCCTATTATTTACAGACCGCCATATAGCTGGAATATCGCTAAGTGCGGCGTATAACTAAACTCACTCACTCGCTGTATATGTCATCAAACAAGGGACTAAATAAGTCTATCTAGCCCATGGTATAAGTGTACCTTTTTCAACATCTGTCTTTTTTACAATTCCTGTTATCGCCCGGCGATCGTGTCTTGAGTCACCTCACTGCACCTAAAGCAGGTGGTCGTGACATGACAGTTAGAGACACAGGGGCTTTTGAACTTTGGACTTGATAATGTCCTCCTCGTGAAAAACATCCTATATATAAACATGTTTTTGTGATTCCTCTTCTAAGCGAAATGAAGAGTTTAACCAATTCAAACTTTCAAATTTGAACGTTTCGCCAGTTGTAGATATGTGGTTTCATGGGGGGTTTGTTCTTCACGCTACGACATTACAGACAGCTCGCCAAAGGACACGTCTACAGTAACAGACGGTATGGCTTCATTGGACGTTGAAGACCGAAATATATACGTCGGAAAAGTACTTGCTCTTAAAAAGTTCTACACGGCTGAAACAATGCCAGTGTGACGTAAAACTTCAACTCACTTAATTGCTCTTAACCCATCTCTCGATACGACTGGGTTTATTCCATAGAGTTCTTAAACCTTCTACTTGAACAAAGAACGTAAAATGTAAAATATTCATGTTTGTACTCCTAAAACGCATATGGCGGTGGGGAAGTGTTCGCCCGCCACGTGGAAGACGTGGTTCGATTCCATGTGTGGGTACAATGTGTGAAGCCCATTTCTGGTGTCCCCCACCGTAATATCGCTGGATTACTGCTAAAAGCGGCGTAAAACCATACTCGCTCACTCTAAATCCCCAACATCACATACCGTGTACCTATACACACTAGACTAACGGGGCGGTGGGGTAGCCTAGTGGTTAAAGCGTTCGCTCGTCACGCCGAAGACCCGGGTTCGAATCCCCACATGGGTACATTGTGTGAAGCTCATTTCTGGTGTCCCCCGCCGTGATATTGCTGGAATATTGCTAAAAGCGGCGTAAAACCAAACTCACTCACTCACTAGACTAACGCTGAGTCTCTGAATATATGTGTAAACAATGTTTTTTCATGGAAACAAACAATTCCTTTTAAATTCAGTTTAGACGGGAGATTCAGAACCTGAACCTGGGCAAATCTAGACTTGCTTCATTCAGAGCTTTAGCATTATTTTTTATATAGAAATATCATCATTAATGTATTCAGGTATTTTGGTGAGTGTTATAGCATTTCTAGCACTGGACAAACATTCTCACGTTACTCATACCACAGGCTTGACCAGCCTAACCCATGTCATTCGTTAAGACATGCGATTGTCTAGACTAAGGCTTAGTCTCTGAATATATATAATTTTGATAGTAACAAACAAGCCCATTTATATTGAAAAGGAGCCCTAGGGAGACCAGAGATTCAGAACTTGAACCTGAGGAAATCTAGACTTGCTTTATTTAGGGCTTTAGCACTGCAGAGAGGGGCTTGGCGGTAGGAAGTAATGTGGTTCCGGGGACCTCCATGAGACAGACTAGTGATTGTCTATTGTCTGTCACAGTCCCTTGAACCTGATTATTCACTGTAAGCTTCCGCTCTGCCAAAAGAAGTCTTCAACAAAGCTAGCTCTAGATCTACTCCGTTCAGTTCTGTTAACATCTACAAGAAACTAACTCACTTTGGGGCTCGGATTACAAAGTAAACATATCTAACTACCATGGCTGGCCGGACCAACATCCTCACCAGTGGCCTGGAATCTTGCCTCACATTTTCATCTGTCAACTCTTAATTAACAAGCACCATTGGATGACATGAAGCTATAGTGGAGGCCTTGTGCACAGTTTCTGGTCTTGAAGAGACAAATGAAAGAAAATCTTGGGGAAAGGTTCCTCCTGAATGTAATGTTGTAAAAGTATTGTTTCATTGTCTGACTTGGGTCCACAAGAAGCAGCCTCAATTGTAAATGCGGTTAAAGATTTAGTGTAATTAAACAAGGGTTATTTTCTTATTCCTGATGTAAGATTATTGTGTGAAGGAAAGAGTTCGGCTTCCGTTCCCCAACTCTAAAGCCACAACCCTAAACCTAGCCCTAACCCAAATTTTGGACTTTTAATCATTTTGTGTGTTCTCTAGTAATTGTTGCGTTAAGTTTCGTTTATAATTCTAGAATATTTATACATATGATTTGGGATGGGGGAACGGGAGGAACTCTTACCGTGTGAAACTCTGGTGTGTTTTGAGTATCTGTTATTATCTAATTGCTCAACAGTAAAACAATATGGCAGGGACCTAGCAATCATGAAGAGTGAGTGAGTGAGTGAGTTTGGGTTTACACCGCATTCAGTAATATTCCATATATGGCGGCGATCTGTAAATAAGTCGAGTCTCGACCAGACAATCCAGTGGTCAACAGCATGAGCATCTGCGCAATTGGGATACGATGACATGTGTGTCAACCAAGTCAGCAAGCCTGACCAATCCGACCCCGTTAGTCGCCTTCTCATGAAGAACCAAATGCTAAAGGCACAGCATCTCGGAATTAAATCTGTTTACCTTTGTGATGTGATTGAGGCATGCAAGGTGAAATCTAGTGCGGATGATCTTGTATCTAGAAATACCTAGAACATCTTCAAGCGTAAGACAGACGCTGGCCTTTTCACTTCCATTGAACAGTTTGTTTGAAAAAGGTGGTTATCTATATCCTCTTCGCATATTATACAAATGGAAACTTTTGAATTTGGAGATAAGTTCAAATTCATAAACACTTTTGTTGGTGTTCCACAAAGATCTGGCACCTTGGTCATCTAGTGTCCAAGTGACATTGTGGGCTGTTTCCCAACAGTAAAATGTTAGGCAGTAGGGCACTTTGACTGGCCCACATGAGGATGATGACAGCATGGAGATAGGACAGGGCTTAACAGGAGGGCCAATAAATATGCCTTTCACTTATAGCGTTATCTGATGGTTGTATGATGACTTCTGGTGGTCTAGTGATTGTCCTACACAACGTGTATTGTCCAGCGGTCAACCATCGACCGGCACTCTTACTCGAACCGGTCATCCCGCTCGCCGGTCCAAAGTCCACGGCTCGCCAACCACGTGTTGATACAGGCTGCTGGTGTTGTTGTCATACTGTTGTACATTGCAGACAGGCTCATGTGCATTGCATTCCCGCTATGTGTAGTGCCGTTATATAGATAATGACAGGTGCGTTCTATTACAATGACAGGCATGTATCACTGAGTGCTATGCAAAAAGCACTATTCTGGGAACCCTCTTTTGACCTTGATGCGTAATATCATATTTTAACGGATAATCAAAAATCAAAGGTGGTGATATTAGTTTCAACCGTTACCGAGTATTTAATGGTTAAATTCCGTCTTTTAAGATACGGACTGGTTTCTCGAAAAGCGTCATAAAAATGTAGACAGAAGCGCCTGACAGAC